CATAAGACATGATGTTATGGGGAAGACCCAAAAAAATGGAATTATTTTTTGGAGGGTGTGCCCCTTGATAGGTGTGCCTGTAGGCGTCCCCTGATAGGAAGTGTTCTAGGAACCCACTGGCATAGTGTACCAGCGAGCATTGTTGTGAGAGGCATTCGACTTCAGTGATTTTTTTTTTTTTTTAGATTCTGTCGATGTGTTTGTCTCTCTCATGATGTCTGGTTTATGAGCACACATGCCACTGTGAGTGCGCAGCAGTTTTTGAACAATGACGGCATGACTCCCATGCCCCACCCTTCCTCTTCGCCCACTCTTGTCCGGAGCGACTTTTTGTTTGTTTGTTTCCCTGAATGAAAACAGTCCTCAGAGGGAAGCGCTGTGCTGATGGGGAAGAGCTGAAACAAAAAATGGTGGAAGCACTAAAAGGCACCAGAATGAATAAATTCAAAAACTTAATATATGTGAGGGGGAACCCAAAAACCCCAGAATTTATTTATAAAAATTGTGCATGTCTTTCTTACAGGTTTAGATTTCGGTCACCTTCAGAATACTCTCCGTTTGATGCAATACACCTATTGAGATGCTTTTTCCACTTCTCAGTAGGTGTATTGCATCAGATGGAGAGTACTCTGAAGGTGACTGAAATCTAAACCTGTAAGAATAAATGCACAATTTTTATAAATAAATTCTGGGGTTTTTTGGGGTTCCCCTTCACATATATTAATAGAAGAATCAGTCAAGTTGCAGGATATTAAATCAACAAACAAAACTCAGAAGCATTTCTATATACTAATAACAAACTAGCTGAAAAAGAAATCAATAAAGCAATCCCATTTACAATAGCTACATAAGAAAAAACACCTAGGAATAAAATTGAACCAAGGTGAAAGAACGAAAACTACAAAACATTGATGAAAGAAATTTAAGAGGACACAAACAAATTGAAAGAATAACAAATGTTGGCAAGGGAAAAGGGGGACTCTTTTATACATTCTTGGTGGGAATATAAACTAGTACAGTCATGGAAAACTGTATAGAGGGTTCTCAAAAAGCTAAAATTAGAACTATCATAAGATTCAGCAATCCCACCACTGGGTATTCATTCAGAGGAAAGGAAAATCAGTACATCAAAGGACCACCTGCACCCTCATGTTCTTTGCAGCACTATTCACAATAGCAAAGATATGAAATCAACCTAAATGTCCATCAGCAGATGAATGGATAAAGAAAACAAAGTAGATATACACCGTGAAATACTATTTAGCCGTAAAAAAGAAGGAAATCCTGTCAATTGCAGCAACATGAATGGAAGGAGAGGTCACTATGTGAATTAAGCTAAGCCAGGCATAACAAGACAAATATTAAATGTTCTCACTCATATGTGGGGGCTAAAAAAGTGGATCTCATGGAGGCAGAAAGTAGAATGAGAGTTATCAGCGGTTGTGAAGGGGTGGATGAAGAGAGGTCGATCAACGAGTATAAACATACAGTTAGATAGAAGGAGTAAGCTCTAGTATTGATAGCACGGTAAGGTGACAATAGTTAACAACAATTTATTATATATTTCAAAATAGCTAGAAAAGAAGATTTGAAATGTTCCCAACACAAAGAAATGATACATGTTGAAGGTGATGGCTATCCTAATTACCCTGACTTGATCATTACACATTGCATGAATGTATCATAATTATCACATGTACCTCATAAATATGTACAATTATTATGTATCAGTAAAAAAAACCCAAAAAAACTTTTAAAAGTTAATGAGGGCCGGATGCGGTGGTTCACGCCTATAATCCCAGCACTTTGGGAGGCTGAGGTGAGAGGACTGCCTGAGCCCACGGGTTCAAGACCAGCCTGGGCAACTTAGCGGGACCTCGTCTCTACAATAAATCAAAAAACTAGCCGGGCGTGATGGCGCATGCCTGTAGTTCCAGCTACTTGAAAGGCTGAGGCAGAAGGATTACCTGAGCCCAGCAGGTTGAGGCTGTGGTGACTGGGAGTGTGCCACTGCCCTCCAGCCTGGGTGTCAGAGTAAGATTCCAACTCAAAAAAAAAAAAAAAAATTAATGAGGTCAGGCACAGTGGCTCATGCCTGTAATCCCAGCACTTTGGGAAGCCTAGGCGAGAGATATTGCCTGAACCCATGGGTTCGAGATCAGACTGTGAAGCTTGTCGAGACCTCATCTCTGCAATAATTTAAAAAATTAGCCAGGCGTGGTGACATGGGCCTGTAGTTCCAGCTACTTGGAAAGCTGAGGTGGAAGAATCACCCAAGCCCAGGAGGTTGAGGCTGCAGTCGCTGTGAATGTGTCAGCCTGAGCAACAGAATATGACTCTGACTCAAAAAAAAAAAAGTCAATGAGTTAAGTGCCAGTATTATCACTCCTCTTAGCAGATGAGGAAACTGAGGAACAAAGTTGTGAATTAACACCGTGAGATCACAGAGCAGAGCCCAGGCTACCCAGTCCCAGTGTTCCAGCTCTTGGTCATGACCTCAGTAAATCTCCCCTGCCTCCATTTACACTTCACTGTGATCCCCAACTGCAGCCTTACATCAGTGTGATTATTCATAGGAATGGTAGAGTGGAGCCACAAAGGGCCAGTTTTCTTTGAGCACTGCTCTTCCACGAGGCCAGAAGTCCCTTGAGGAGGCTGTCTTCTGTTCGGATGCTCAAGCCCTGGCCCGAGTCAGCCTTATTGCAAGGCCTAAATCAATGTTTGTTGAGTGAATACCTAAACTTCTGTGCATAGCATGCACTGTGCCCATCGTTTTCTCATCTTCACCGCACACTTGGCTGCATGGCTATCACCCCCAGCAGGCCTCCTGCCAGGGACAGGGAACTCAGGGACAACCAAGGAGATCTGAACTGCTCAGCTGGGGACAAGCTGCCTCAGGTTATGCCCCTTGGTACTTTCTGGAAATGTTTTCCTCGGCCAGTTTGCAGGGAGGCCTACCCCAACTTCCAGGAACAAAAGGTTCGCTCTCGGCTGGGGCTCAGTGGCTCAGCCTGTCATCCCAGCACTTTGGAAGGTTGAGGCCAGTGGATTGCCTGAGCCCACAGGTTTGAGACCAGTCCCGGCAACTTGGTGAGACTTCATCTCTACAATAAATCTTAAAAATTAGCCAGGCATGGTAGCGTGCGCCTGTGGTTCCAGCTACTTGGAAGGCTGAGGCAAAAGGATCGCCAGGGCCCAGCAGGTCGAGGCTGCGGTGGCCGTGAGCGTGCCACTGCACTTCAGCCTGGGCGACGGGGTGAGACTCCACTTCAAAAATAAATAAATAAATAAAAGCTTCTGATCTCTCTGTGGCAATGAGCCCTTGTTCCCGGGATGTGTGAGCAGGTACTGGGTTTTCTTGAGGATTACTCAGCATCTGAAGGGGCACTGGACCAGACTCTTTCAGATTCCACTGCAGGCCTGCCCCACTGCAGGCAGCACAGGGCCAGTAGTGAAGGACATGGGCTTGGAGCCTGGGATATGGCAGGTTCTTCGGCTCGATGGGTTGCTAGCCTTGTGACCTTGGGCAAGCCACTTCCCTCTCTGTGCCTCAGCGTCCTCATCTGTAACACAGTACTAATAACAGGATCCCTGCACCCTTCCCCAGGAGAGCGTGGTAAGACATACACTCAGCATTACCAGCATCACAAAGGAAGGGCGGAAGGAGGCCTGGAACAGAGGCAGGGTGAAATCAGAGAGCCCCCGTTCACATCCCCACACCCTGAGCCATCGTGCATGGTGTTCACCTCACACACCCACACTCTGTCACATGTCGCCACAGGATCAAACCAGGGAGATGCTCCCAGGCCACTCCAGATCCCAGCCCTCCCCACAATCAGACGTGTCCTCCTTCCCCGTTGAAGCCCTTCCCTGTTGCTGCTTCCTCATCTGGCTGTATTGGGTCTCTTAGGGACGGAGACCGGGCTCCCACCCCCGAAAGTGCCCCAAGCTCCCCATCTGGGACCAAGTGCATGTCAGGCACTCCATGCACACTTCAGGCTGCAGGGTCCTGCTCACCTGTCCTCTAACCTGAAGGATGCATCTTCCCGCAGGTGCTCCTCTGGGGGAGGCCAATTCCTGCCCTGGGAGCATTCACGTTTTTCATTACATGTTGTCCAGTCATGACATGTCTTCAAAGTTTAAAAACAAGTTTCACATTTTTCAAATGCCAGGAGAGAAATCCCTGTCGTTTGAGGTGTCTCCCCGGTGAGTCCGCTGAAACACACCTTTCCTCCCCTTCTGTATCTGTACCCCAAGCAAACACACCCGCCAGCTCCTGCGGATTCCTCCCCCGGCCTCTTCCCGCCTGGCTCTTCCCGGGGAGAACTGGCGAACTCGCCCACCTGGAAACTGGAAGCAGGGCTCTCCCTTTCTGTGGACACCTGGGGGACGGGCTGTCTGGGCCACAGGAAAGGCCCACACTCAAGGTGTGGGGAAGGAAGGGAAGAAAGGCCACAAACAAGGAGCGCTTGCTCTGTCCCTCCATTAATTATTAGTTAGTTAAAGGAAGGAGCGCCGCACGCTGCAGCTTCCTGCCGGCCGGGGGCTGGACGGGGCCGCGAGGAGGCCTCCGAGCCTCCCGGGCGGCAGCGGTTCTCACGGGGGGCTTCCGAACCCGCAGCAGCAGCAGCCGCAGCTGGGAACCCGTTAGAAATGCAAAGTTCCCGGGCCCCAGCCAGACCCAGCGAACGGGAAACCGGAGGCGGCCGGGCGCGGCGCGCTTTAACGAGCCCCCAGGTGATTCGGCAGGAGGCAAGATTGGAAGGACGGAGCCGGGCGAGGCCGGCGGCCTCCGTGAGGCTGATTGGGCGCCTCCCCTTCCCCTTCCCAGGCTTCTTAACCGCAGGT